GGGGGGGGGGGGGAAAGGAATAAATTCAAGTGTGTAATGCTGACGATCGTTGAGTCTGAGATCTCATTTTCCTCTCGGATTCCCACCAAGGGTGGGGGTTGGGTATTTTTGTCTCTCTCCTTCCTTTGGGAATCTGACGATTGCTCCTCCAAAGGAGGGATGGATTGATAACGAAAAACCATGCCCTTCGTGGTGCCGATGTTTACAACGGAAAAGACGGAGATTTGAAACAAATAAAACCACGTGTAATTAAGGAATTTATTTATTTCTCAGCATTTGAGTTAGGAAGTCATTTTCTGCGAATGATGGCACATTTTCGTTTTTCTCAGCTCGACTCTCGCTCCCGTTTTAACCCCCACATGTCAGACGAAATGTAACCTGCTAAGACAAAAAAATCAAACATGCTTTTCACAAGACTCTTACCATAAAAAAAAACGTCGGGAGAAAAAGGAAAAAAATCTCATGCGTTTGAAAAGATAGCGTTTTACAGAGAATAGAAAACTTCATAAAAACGGTACACGTGCAAAGAATACGATTGCAAGCCACAGTACTCCCTACCTCTCACGTACAGGTGCCGGGAATGTTTTCTATTCCTGAATCCATACTAGTCTGGTGAAAACATCGCACTTAATCGTCCCTGCTTGCGGTCTTTATGTCTGACTTAGCTGTCACATCACAAACTGGATAAAAATAAAAACATAAGTGGATTCATTTTCTAAGTTCAATCAGATCTGCGTAGCAAACTGAGGTTAATAAACTACTGATTGTTAATGAGAAAGACTGGTCAGTCTCTAGAGAACGTTACGCTGAATCACTTTCTATCAACATTGTTGATTGTGGATAAGTAGAAAATAAAAATGATGACACCACGCCGCAGTGTTGTGTGCACCGTTTCTCCTTTCTGTTCCCTAACCCCCTGAAATCTGTTCTTGGTATGAGACTAGCCCTGTTAACCCCTTGACTTCTAAGGGTGATTAGCATCTACTTTCTTCTTACAATAACCACACACCCCTCCCCACCCCTAATGACATTAAGGCCACAAGACGAAACGAAGCTCTTGATTGTCAAACAAACTCTCCTTGTCGGCACCTTTAGAAATGTAAAGGAAACAGTATGGAGAATACAAAAACTGATGTTAGGGTACAGAGTTAACAATGAAAATCTAACAAAACGCTGCAATTGAGAAATAACGTTGTGAAAGATGTTTTATATCAAACTGCGCTACATTACATCAATCCATGCTTCCGAGTGGATAATACGCGGATTCCATACTTAAGTGCATGACGAAAAAAAAAAAGAGAGAGAGAAACGAAACGATTATTAAAGACGTAATGCATGAAAAGGCAACGAATACAGCGACTTCGAGAATTGACAGACAAAAAGGCTCTCATAGAAGAAGATAGTGACTGAGAAACAGGGTATAATATGTAAAGCTAGGGTGGAACTGCTTAAAAAGAGTCCTCATGGAAAATAACCCAAATAGTCTTGCACTCTAACAAGATCGTAGCCCGCGGGGGTAGTGTGGAGGGGGTCTTCCCTTGCATTTTGGTTTCCCTCCGATATGAAACGAAAATCATTTACAAAAACAAAGCATCCCGGTATGCTCCGAAATTTCAGTTCAAACTGTGTTTGAGCCCAGTTTCTCTCTAAGCAACCGTGCTGAATGCATCGCTCGGCGTAAGTTGACCCTATACAAGATGCTCGCTTTTTTGACAGTGAATTTCTCTCAATCATCCTTTTATATGGAGTCTTGCGTTGAAAACTCTCGAAAGAATCTAAATGCCCGCTCACTAATACAGTAAAAACCCGCATACAAGAATATGTGGATTAAGAACACCCAGGCTGAAATTTTGTAAAATAAAAGGAGCATATATATAAGAACACATTCAGCCTGAAAATTGAAAATTGTTCTTATATATAAAAACTCTTCCCTTTTCAGTTTAATAGAACAAACAGTCTGTAGCTTTACTGTGGTATTGCACTAAGATCTCTGTATAAATGCTAATTTCACTTGCTGTGTATAGCATATGTACGACCACTGTACTTGGAATTAAAAGTCTTATAATTACATTTATAAGTTATGTATTTCATCATAGTTAGTACATTCCTTACATTTTTTTAGAAGTAAAAAATTAAGAACACTCGAGAACACTTTCAGGCTGATTTCACCTGAAATACCCGATATATAAGAACCCAATCAACCCGAACCCCGAAAATGGGTGCTCTTGTATGAGGGTGTTTACTGTACTCACGCTTCATGACAAAATATTCTCAAGGGCACTAAAACAAGGAGCGCTGAATCAGCCAACTGTTTCCCTCAGAAAAGAGTTTAGTTTCACCGAAAATAATATGCTAACACATACTTCATGAATCACGCTGTGAACTGTACTCGTGTTTAAAGCAGCGTGAAAATCTGTTTGTTCCCAACTGCAAGTAAAAATCGATCTTTCATTGATTCCGATGGTAGAGTTAAACCATTTCACTCTTTGTTTTTTGATCATTTTATGTAAAGTTTCTTTCTGTTATCAACAATTCTTTCCACGAATGAGGCGTATTTACCACTAGATTTACGACTACGTAAACACTCAAGTTGTAGGTAGAAGCGATCAGGTAACACTCTATCACGAGTCAGGACCAATCAGAATTCCTAAAACGAAAACGAAAGTAATCACCAATCCGAGCAAAGGAAAATGTCACAAGCAGCTAATTAGTACTTGAAGAAAAATAGGAAACCGTCTGAAACGCGGAAGAACATGATTAAAAAAAACACGCTTAATTTCATTTTTAGACTTAATGACCAAACGGATTGTGGGGGTGACGTGAATCTTCTGGTCCAATTGCAGTATTACACTATGCAAATCAACATTCTCATGCAAGGTTCGACACAAAGTAGCCACAGAAGCGTACTTCCAAGAAAGGTGCAACAAACTGTATCAAAGAATAGTCGTAGAGAGTTTGACCGAGCGCTCGGGAACTTACGTTAAAAAAAAAAAAAGAAACCTTGTAAGGAAACTCACCCAGTATATACGTTCGTTAGAGACTTCCTTTTCGCTCACCACCGGTTGAACAAACACTACAGACAATTTACTTCAGGAAGCGGACCATTATCACAATTAGATGACGGAGGACTGAAAACGAACTCAAGACGAAAATGTCATTTGCTGTGAAAACTGATGAAGGTTGAACCAACAGTCAGTTGGACACAGCCCGCACTGAACAAATCATGATGCATTTGAGAGCCAGGGTAGGTGAAAATTCAAATATGGTTTCATTTAGAGGTTGCAGAAAGCCAGTGGTATGTTAGGATGCTAGATCGAACTTCATGGTGTGAATCGTAGTCGAAAGAGAAAAATAAGACGGGAAGCAAAGGTCAAGAAGTGCACAAAGTATTCTTTAAATCTTAATTACAACCGAAAACAGCTCCAAATTTAGAACGGATTACACAAAACAAAACAAAACAAAACAAAATAAAAAACTGGTAACGTAAAATAAACAATATTAAAGTTGGAATCCTCTCTCTAAGAGAGATTTAGAACCAACATCATTTTCTGACAATAACTTCACCCGTTTAAGTCGCCATTTTTGACGGGTCTCTCTCGTAGGCTATCACTGAGTATCCTACGAAACAGTGTGACACA